TTCTGACTCAGAGTGACCCTATAGGACAGAGTAGAATTGCCCCATAGAGTTTCCAAGGAGTGCCTGGTGGATTCAAACCGCCAATCTTTTGTTTGGCAGACATAGCTCTTAATCACTATGCCACCAGGGTTTCCCGTCCTTGAACATATAAGAATATATAAAATAAAACAATGGGATAAAAAAAAAAAAAAAAGAAAAAGTTGCTCAAGTCGCCACTCAGCCTTAAATCAGTCACCTGTTCACCAGTGGTGGCGCCATTGGGACTAAGGAACACCTTAGGACAGCCAGGTAGAAATCGAGGCCAGGTTGCTGACAGAGTAAGAGAGGATGAGACTCAGGGAAAATGCAGGGGAACAGAAGAAAAGAAAGGCAACAACGAAAAGGCAGAGCGAAGAGGGAAAGACGGCGCAAAGAAGGAAGATAAAGGAGTAGGTGGTGGACTGCCATAGTTCAAGTGCCATTTGGAGTCGAGGGCTGCTTCGGTGTGGCCGGGATGGCCCCTCGGCTGGGCTCCCTCCAACTCCTGCACTTTGTCTCACGTGGCGCAGGCTGCTATTGTTTGCTCTCTGACCGGACCGGGGGCAAGCATCTTTGTTAATCTCTGCATTCCTAGCACTTAGCATAGTACATGACACAGTGCACCTCTTGTTCCCTGAGCTGAGCTGAGGTGAGTCACTTAGCCAAATTAATACGACACTCATTAAAAGTTTGAGTTTAAATGCTCTGTCTTGCTGATGCAGAAAATACGAAAACAATAGCTACTTGAAAGAAGAAAAATGGGATCAGGATTTTCTTTCAATTCTCTTTGTTGTCTGCTTTGATCTACTTAAAAACATGAAAAAATTTTCCTCTAATGTTAACTACATACTCTGTATGAACCAAAGGTGAAAATAAAAAGCAATCATTTTTTTCAGCTCAAAATCTTTCTAGTTTTTAGTGAAAAATGAATAAACCTTATGAACTTTTTTCCCCCTCCTTTTTGGTTCTTTCAAATTGTATTCTGATAGCAGCCTCTACAGATAAATTCCTTTCATCCCCCTCTATTCAGGTTGTGAAATGAAATCTGGGCTTGTGGGGATACAGAAATGTTTATCTTTCCCACCCCACAGAAAGTTTAATCCAATCAAAACCAGGGAACAAACGTGAAAGAACCTCTTTGAAAATGCAGGACATCAATTCAGCTGAGTCCTAGGACAAAAACGGCCCGAGGAGCTGTGCGTATAGTCTGTGATGTTCATCTTCATAAAACTCCTTATGAGTGGATCCAGTCATGGCTACTAACGGACAATGAGGAAGAAAAATAAAATTAAATATCACTGAACTGCATCTCACAAAGTGGTGGGTTTCATTTAGAGGGAGACTAGAAGAATGTGAGGAATCGGCTCCCGGAAGAAAATGCCGTTCTGAATGAGCGCAGTGCACTGGGCATGCAGCAGGGGTCAAACAAAAACCACGGCTACTTACTGGGGAGCTGGCAGTGCTTTGCATGATGCTGGAAGTCTTCTCCTGGCCTTTGGACGATAATGTTCCAGGCTTAATTTCTGAGGATATGCTATTTATGTGAACACGAAGAACGCTAGGCTGATGTCCAAGACAGTTGTTACACTTAATGAGAACTATGTAACTAGAACTTCACTGAGAAATTTGTGAATCTCTTCATAGGAAATGAGACAGTTGGTGGGGTCTTGGAGAAGGGGGTGCATACTGTTTTCCTTCTCTCTCTTGCATCTCTGTCTTAAACAGCATTATTTAATCCCAGGGAGATTTTACTTTGTGTTCCACGGAATCACTTTTTTCCCACAGGATCAAATCACAACCTGTCATTTTTTACACAGCACTATTTAATCAAATACTCTTTTAAAGTCTGGAAAATACATTTTGCTAGGGCAACAGCTCCAACTTAACCTACTGCCACTCCCATCAGTCAATCACCCTACAGCTTTTACCCAGGCACCTATGCGGAACAGCGTGGGGGCGCTGGAAGAAGAAAAAGTGGAAGATCTGGCACGATCTCTACCCTTCAGGTGCTTACAGGACAAGTGAGAAATATGATTCATGACCTTAAAATATCAAGTGAACAAAACACAAGCATACATCAAGAAATCACAGGGCAGATAAGTTCAAGATCTGGTAGGCCTAACTGCCAATTTACAGGAACACAAGAACCAGAGAAACGTTTTAAATGACACTGCAGGAAGGCAACCACAAAGTCTAGACTGCAGGAAAACGATCTGACCAATCAACTGGCTCCTAAACCAAACAAACAAAACATTTCAAGGAGGAAGGGGAGGAAGAAGAGTGGGAAAAGAGGCGAAATCTACAGATTAAAAAAAGTTACATGACAAATCAACCAATTGCTATGTAAGCCCCTTCTTTGGATCCTGAGCCAAAGAAACTGTTAACAAAAAACAAGGTGTGCACAATCAAGGAAATTTCAATATTGAGTAGTTATTTGAAAATGTTAAAGAATTATTGGTTTTTTACAATTTTTTTCAGAATGATACTGTGGTTATGCTTCAAAAGAAAGAGTCCTTATCTTTCAGTTGGGATCTTGTAGAG